GGGGCTTTGGGTGCCCCCGCAGCCACGCCCCCAGCGCGAAAACAAACTTGAAAAAAAAACACAACAACAGTAGGCTGTGTGTGTGTGTGTGTGTGTCCGCGCCTTCGCTGATTCGCGCGCGGTGCCCAGCGGCTCCGCCGAATTTCCCGCAACCGCGCGTTGTGTTTTGTAAAACCTTTCTTCCCCTTTGCGGCCGAGTTTTCCTTCTGCAGCCCTCTCGCCAAGGAGCTTCTAAGGCCTAGACTATAAATGTTCTGGTTCCTCCTTGCGCTGTGCGTCCGCACTGAACTCGAGCGCGTTAATTCCGATGCTGCCCGCCAACGCGAAAGGCCCCATCGGGCGCCCACAGCCAAGCTTCGTCGCCACGTCGGCGCCTTCAACGCTCGCAACGGCCCGCCCCATCAGCCTGCCAGCCTCCAAACGGTGCGGGGCAAGCAAATGACTCAGAATAAACCTCTTGGTGTCGATCACCAACACCAAGTGCTTCTTCAGCGTCTTCGCATGCTCCGAGATAAGATCGGCGGCCCCCTGAGAGGCGCCCACTGCCTTTACAACCTCCACCAACTTCACTATAAATACGGGGGGGAAGTGGGGCCCAGCAAGGCGATCCAGACGGCCTGTGGCTACAGCCTGTTTTTCCACCGAGAGCGATGAGGTGGTATTCATACAAAAGACACACTCTTTCGGGGCCATGCCGTGGTTTTTTTTTCCAAAACGCCCTCTTCGCCAGAATGTTCTCCACAATCTCTTCCACAACTAAACCCGCACGGCGCACTGCCAACCACTTGTCCGTTGAGAAGGTTATTCAAGACAATCTCATCCATAAACACTTTCCTTTTTGCTCGTCGCCGGAATGATGTTTATTCCCAATCCATGTCAAGGAGCTTTCGATGGAGTTGCGCGCGACCGCCAAACGTTCATGCGATACCTCCACAACAGTGGTAAAAATGCAAGCATGCGCAGTAACCTGCGCAATGCCAGTACCCATCGTACCGTTACCCCAGACACCGACACAGCCGAAAAGCTTTCACGGAACATTACGAAACATAATTACTTGGTATAACTAAATACAATGTGAACATCAACCCTAATGCTATACCAAAGGCGTCAAGTCATGCACGCACACAACGAAACAAAGAAAAAGAACCTCATCATAAACATACCACACGCAACAATACTACACAACCTACATACAACTCCCACTACCGCAAAACCACAACAAAACCAAAAACGTACCATACACCCTACACGCACAAACATACAAAGCGACAACACAAACATTTCATTCTTCCTCACCGTGTGCGCAAGCCAAACCGACTGGACTACAAGAAACCCCAAATACAAAAAAAAAGGAACCTAAACATGCTCCACCGTAACATTCACTAACTTCTCCCGAAAACGACGCTCCAGCACCGCTATGCAGGCAACAAG